GGCCGAGTAGCGCCGGCGCGCCTTTGCGAAATGTAGCACAATTTTTAATTAGATATAATGTGTTGTGAGGAGACCGCGGCGAGGGTGGGAAGGGGAGGGGAGGGGAGGCGGCGCAGAACACTTTTATATCCATTATACAGATATACAATGCAAATGAATCTACGACGTACTGTGATCTATAGATAATTATTTTCTTGTATTATTTAATAACGACAAATCTAATAGAATTCTATGCATGATGCTATGCTCACTGTGTACTCGCAACACATGTTAACAGTATTTATTTCAAACGCATTTTTTTTATGATTCTACAGATTTCATTTTCAGGTAAATTAAGTAGGTATACATAATAATTATGTATTTAATTCAGAATTAAATCCAATGCGACTTACACGTCAGATGTACAAAACAAATTTTAATAAAATGTTGATAAATATTTGGAGTTTTTTTATTATCTCCTTGCAACTTTGGCGGCGGCGTGATGTGCACTTGCGGTAATCTGGTAATACCTGCAAATACCTAACGTTCTATTTGATAAAGCACATAATGCCCACACTGTAGCGCTCAGAACGGCGCTGACATAATATAATTCACATACTAGGCCAGCGTAACTGTCCTACTGTACCGTCGTAATGTAAAACGGGCATAATGTTTTATGCCAAGCGCCTGCGCAACGGAGAGCCACGGTTGCGTTAGGGACAGCTAAACTGGCCTGAGCGCACAGACTGCACTGTCCTACTGCCTCGCTCTTGTCTGTGCCGCAGTCTGCATACAGAGAAGAGCGATTCGAATTTTGAATCTTTAACGGACTCTGGCCTTTTTATCTTAGATACAACTCGAGAACCTCAATTTGAGGTGTTCTAAAGAATTGTTTGGAACAATTCTTTGCATCGGATGACACGAAAGACCGCCAGACCGCCACCACCTGTATGTTTGGCATACCTCAACGGTGTCATTTTCGCGGAATCCCCTGTCCCGGAGAGCTGCGTTGAGTTACGGTTTGTCCTCGGATCCTCGCATTTACCGTTATATCTTAAAAAAAAAAAAACGGATTTCCTTTTTATGATATTAATCTTAATCTTTAGGTGTGGTCTTATCTTATCCTTGTGGTGTACCGATATCGATTAGTGTGTGTGTATAATTAGTGCAGATAATTAATAAAAATAAGTAGTTTTAAAAAAGTTGTAAAATACATTTAGTGTTCATGACATCCGTCGGCGCCGTTTCCGCTTCTCCATAACAGATGGCGCTGTGTGTTTGTTACATCACGATTTGCATTTGTTTGTCCTGTAAGTTATATAGTTCTGTCGTGTTTCGCGTTTTTTGGTTTTTTGGTTTTTTGTCCAGTGTTTTTCTTTGCGATCTGTATATGGTTGAGGTTGCTTGTGTTTCGTAGTTTTCGTTCGTTTTGTGTCGTCGTTTATTGTGGACCAAGTTTCGTATGAGTATAAACAACATCTGTTTCCCATATAACTAAAACTATTTTTAACTTTTAACCACGCTTTCATCATTTAGGTTGAAAAAACATGTACAATTACAATACTATAAGGAATAATAGACATTTCGAGTGGGGCATCATTTTCAACATTATTTAAAGGCCGCCATCTTTGAAAGTGGGGCATTCGCTCGCTGGCTCTGGTAGCGTTAAGTCGTGTCAAAGTGTTCGGTACATTTTGAGGTTGTAATTGTTATTAGTGGTTGATTCTTTGTTCCTCCTAGTTATTGTTGTAAAATTACTTTAAAACAGATAGATTTTGTGTCCAATCAAATAATAATGTTGTTCGCCATCTTGTAACTCTTTTTTTTTATTAAAATTCGTTCGTAGTTGCTAAAAATACAATACAAGTACAAAAAAGTGCCAACTACTGGCATATCATCACAATCACAACGATAACTTGCATACCAGTAGCTAGCGTGACTGCGCGATACTACATTTTGTGAAAGCTACACAGTATGTAGCATTCCTAAAATTTCACAAATTTGTTATGTAGTACATACAGATTGAGAGGGAGGGACCGAAGGGCGCGGTTCAAAATTGACACTGACTCGTCTCATTGAGAATCTACTGGCGCGGCGTGTGTGTCGTGATAGCCGCCTATTTGAATTCTGCCTACTAGGCAAATCATATCGCACTTACTACGAATTTACAAACACACGTCGCTTTGTAATATTGAAATGAAGGTTCTGCGACAACTCGTTGGCAGTTATGTTGTCAACAGTACGCCAGCCCGCCACCTCCACAGCTTGGCAGTCAGCCAGTTTGCCACTCTGCCTGGCCGCATGTCTTGGGCGTTGTAATCCTCGTCAACTTTGTTGATTTATTGAAAAAAAAGCCGTAGATATAAAAAAAAAACACATGTTGACATCGGAGTACATTTTCAATTTTCATGAAAACATCTTGTGCTATTGCTAATAATGCTACGCCTGTTGCCAAAAGTCTCGTCAGTGGTGCTTAGCTACCCCCTCGACATCGCTTAAGAGCTGGCACACACATTTGACTAAACTAACGCACAACTGTTGTACCATTGTCCATTGCCGATAGTTTCGCACCCAATTCAACTGTTTACTTGCACAACTAAAAATCGAGTAGCGCACCTCCTCATATATTGTGCGACAGTTCAGTTTCGGACATGCGCACGCTCTAAATAAACCAAAATATAGCTATTCCTTTTTAAGGTAAAGTAAACAATTATTTATAAATTTAATAATTGAAAATTATAAAGATAATTGGTTAGGTGTAATTTTCTAGCTTGCACGGATGGAGGTCGCGAGACTGCCATCCTGCCAATCGCCAACAACCGGACGTATCGCAATTCTTTATTTTTATCTTTATCCTGCTCAAGCATGCAATGAAGTTTTGGGGTAAAGTTGTTTTGACATTGTTTTTATTAAAATCAAGGCAAGAATTATCAATGTAAGCAATCGATCAGACAACGATGTATCTACTTTAGATATAATTTCCGCGAGGCGCTTATCATCGCAGTGCTAATGAAAGAGATAACATTGTATGACTATAAAAGTAGGAAATACCAATTTATTAGGCATATATCCATCCAAAATTGCGATGAAGTTAGCGCTAGTGAGCCTGTTCTGCCTGGGGGCGCTGGCGGCGGCCTACGACATTCCGGAGCTGAACTACCACGAGCGCGTGGGAATCCCGCGCGCCGACGCCCTCAGGCAGGCCGAGCTCGCGGCAGACTTTGATGGCAGCAGGATCATCAGCGGCTCGCCGGCCGCGCTCGGCGCCTACCCTTACATGGTGAGATTAACGAGGACGACGAAATGTACAAGCTATACATAAAGAAATAAAATAAAATATATAATATGACGCAGAAGTAGAACATAGTCTGAAGAAACACATACGCTACTTACTATTTTTTATTTTAAATTGCGCTCGGACGGAGTCGCGGGCATATATAATACAAGTTTCAAATAAAGTGGAAAGTGTTTTTACAATTTTTATGAATTCGATTCTTATTTTTTAAAGAAGAGAAGGGGACAAGCCGCGGGAACACCGATGTATGTACATTGAAGTTCTGGAAGTATATATCTTCATATCACCTACCTTTCGCAGGCTGGGCAGATAATGACGCTGACAAATGGGCGCGAGTCTATCGGAGGCGGTACTTTGATCAGCAACACGCGGGTTCTGACCGCGGCACACAACTTGTTCGATGGGCGGCAGATGATCCGCCACGTGACCATCGTGCTGGGCTCTGTGCGCATCTTCTCCGGCGGCACCAGGATCACTTCTAACAGGATGGAGCTGCACGGCAATTACAACGTCAACACATTACAGAACGACATCGCCATCGTCACTATCAACCGGGTGAACTACAGCAGTTAGTATGTTTTAGGATGTGGCATATTACGCAACTCCGTCATTTTCATCGAATTTTGCTCCAGAACCTACGTCTATTTTTAAATGTACTAGTCTTCCAATACCATCTCAGTCTGTGGGATGTTTCAATTTCAGACACGATCCGCAACATCGGGCTGGCGTCAGGCAGTAACACGTACGCGGGCACGTGGGCCTGGGCCATCGGCTTCGGCAAGACCAGCGACGGTGAGTTTCGGCCTTCATTTGAACTAACACCACATTTCGATCGTTTCTTATTAAGGACAGCTTGGAGCGCTTCGTCGGAAAAGTATATTAGTAGCAGTAGACGGCAAAGTAACAATAAATACAAAAACTTTTTATTGCAGATAGTTGATACTTACTAATTTTGAAAAGTGTATAGATAATATGTTCTCAAAAGTTTAACTATCTTATCCAAACCAGACTTTCGAATTATTTGTTTAAAAATACAATAAAAAGCTAAAATAAGGTAGCTTGTGCTCGTCTTCACGAGGCCCTACATTACTTTGTCATTAATTTAATTCTCTTGTGGTTTACTTTAATACGTCTTAAGCGTTCTAATTTTGAATAATATCTATTGGTTTGGGCAATGCGTACAGCGGCGCCGGCGAGTCAGAACCTGATGCATGTGCGAGTGCAAGTGATCACCAACGACGTCTGCCGCGGCACTTTCGGCGCCAACTTCGTGGTGGCCTCCACGCTGTGCATCAGCGGCTCTACCGGCAACATCTGCACCGGCGACTCCGGCGGTCCGCTCGTCGCCAACAACCTGCTCGTTAGTTATCGTTTTCTACTGTACTCTAACCCCTACCACCCATGTGCATTCAATGTGTGCATTAGACCATAGCGACCGGCACGTCGACACGTCGTCGTAGTCATCGTTGCTTACTTATACAGCCTGCGCGCTTTACTATTCAACTACTATTTACACAATGCTACTGAATATCTAGTGCATCTTCTTAATTTATATTTTGATAGTGTTTTTGAAAATGCCTTATGAAGTGCACTAAAATCACATAAAATTTGTTCTCGTCTATCCAATTCGGTTGACCAGTATGAAAATTCAATTCTCAACAGACTGAAGGATATTAAATTGTTTAAACTATCGTGAGACATTACTTTAAGCGAAATGATAAAAAATGATGTTTTAGATCGGAGTGACGTCATTCGGCTCGGGATCGTGCGACGCGCGCCGCCCCTCCGGCTTCGCCCGTGTCAGCTCCTTCAACTCATGGATTAGAGCGCGGATGTGAAGCGACAAACAACGAAAATAAATTACTAAATACTTTTTTTTGTATTGAATTTGTATGTTCTTATTAATAAGTACATAAAAATCTTACTTCTTACTAATATTATAAATGCGAAAGTTAAAATGGATGGATGGATGGATGTTTGTTAGCGTTTGTAGCCTAAACGGCTTAACGGATCTCCATACAATTTGGCACAGGTTTAGAGCATAGTCTGGAAGAACACATAGACTACTTTTTATCCCGGGATAAGTTACGGTTCCCGTGGGAATCTTTAATTTAGTTTTTTAATGTTTACTCGAACATTGTGCAACGGTTCGACATATCTTATTGAAATTTGCTACAGATGTAAAACAAAGTCTGGAGTACACATGGGATAAGCTTCATCCCTGAGGTGTCTGGTTCCCGAAGGATACGTAGCTTTTTATTATTTATATAGTTCGTATGTTTTCTAATACCACGCGGACGAAGTCGCGGGCAACAGCTCGTTCTACATATAAATAATTTTGCCAAACTGCTAAAAACAGTTTATTGGCGAAAGATCACACCCTTAATTTATCTAGTACACTATACTTTACTAAATACAATATGCTAAATTATTTCTTGTAATAACAAAAACAAACAAAATAGCCAATGAAAAAATCAAACTTAAAAATTGAATGTTGGATGTCTATTCGGCTGCATAGGTATCCAGTAGCTGCGTTTTAATTTTTTTCTTGTAGCTTTTCTCTCTTAAATTGTCTTGGAGCGCATATACATTAAATATTCGCGGTATTAAATACCTACGCGTCCGTTCTCTATTATAATTATACATTGGGTTCGTCAAACATATTACGTGCTGTCTTTCGTAGGCTACTATGTACATACTTTTTAACAAGAAAGTCATTATTTTTACACTGCTCATTTGCTAATAAATATTTAATTTTTTCCTTAACCTAAAACACTATGTCATTATTTATTCTAACTGGTCATTTGAGCAGTACATTAACTTATTGATGATTTCATCATGACGATGATCATACCCATAGTGTGCTTAGCAAATATCAAACAGCTCTCAGTGCGACAGTAAATCATTATTCAATCGATTTATTAGTGTTCATATCTTATCCTATAATTACAGACTAATCAAGTAATTTTGTGTTATCTAAATTAAGATGGATTAATGATATTAACATTGGAAAATCAATTTATTGAAACTTTGACTGTTTTATGTAACAACTAGCTTTTAGCTGTTATTATGTCCGCTTGGAATAAAAGGAAAACAATAGCGAGTAGCCATGTGTTCTTCGAAACTACCGTCTATATCTGTATCAAACATCGACATCGTTCAGCAGCTAAGGTGGCAAACTCTACTAAATATACATCTATCCATCTAAACTTTCGCATTTACAATTTTAGTAAGATATAACCAATATTATGTGCTAAGAAACAAAACGCGAGATGGTCAGACGAGATCGCGGCAGTGGTGTGTGCGGATTGGCTGGACGTGGCGAAGGACAGAGAGCACTGGTTAAAGTTGGAGGAGGCTTTTACTCATCAGGGATCCATACAAACATTATAAATAAATAAATAATATATTTACAATTAAAAAATCTAATTGTTTGGAATGTACGAGTATATAAAGCTAGATAAATAAATAAATGTGCTACGAAAGCATACAGCATTGCTTACGCTCCGGCTGAGAGTCACACAGTTATGGTAGCGATCGCTGATCGTTCCTTACCTATTACGTAGCCTCGATAATTATGTCGTTGGGAGAGCGATACTTGGAGAACTCTCATTTCTCATTGCACGAATAATACATGTTGTAAATATAACAAATACATTTGAAGAATTTTTGAAAATACTTAAATACACAGGCCTTTTGTGAGTTTTAAAACATTATAACAGTAAGTGGTATTTTAACTTTTTGTCCACTATTTGTATGTAGTTTGTGTCGATGTAATACACACTATGAAACTCCAGACAAGAAGACGATTCAATACATACACCTCATTTGTGAACAGCGGTTTAGCCGTTTAGGTCTTAAATTGTTTTACAAATCAAATTATTTTACATATAAATCCACATCACAAAAGAACCAACTTACATACGTGCGAGTAACATTAGTTACGATGTTTTTTAGTCTTGTAAGATAAATACTCTATGTTTTTAGCTGGACCTTAGGATTAATTTCCCAAATTTTAATGAAAATTCTGTCACCAATGTCAATATATAATAGCACGCCTGTTACAAGAGCCGCGCAATTCCTCGACTGAAGGGAAATAGATTATTCTGCGACTCATCTGAAGATCGATTTGCTGCTGCCCATTCTGATACTCTTGCCTTTTCCGAACCTTTCCCAAGAACTTAGAGTATATGTATATCTTAAAGTCGCATCGTCCCTACACATTGAAGGCTACGCATCTCTTACTTTTACGGCTTTATCTATGAAATTGCTGTTTTGTATGAAAAAGGAGAAATGATTTTTCTTTCATGTATTTTCTAATTGTATTAATCGAAGTATTCACTCTTGCAATCAATACACCTTTGCCAACGCAGTGGCAGCTTATTGATGCCCTTCTTAAGGAATCAGCTGGACGGGAGGCAACAAATTCTTCAAAGGCATTTTGTACTGACTCGCGGGTATTGAAATTTATTTTTTACCTTGCGAATTTGACGCAAATGAACCAACATTGACGCTAACGTGGGAAGCTGCTGCAAATTCAGCCGTAGATTGTATATCGTTAGCTTCCACTACGCAATTAATAACATTTTTGGGACAAACATTGAAAAAGCATGTAAAATATGTGAACTTAAATACTCATACCCATATTCATTCAATACGTGCAATGTACTCAAGCTAAATTTTAAGTGATGCTTACTACAACCCAACTGTTAAATATACCCAAAAGTGGTAAACCATTTTCGATATTAAAGTTAAAAGAGAAGAAGTAAAGAGATAAAGTTGTTTGTTTCTATCAAATTAAAGGCCGGGATTATCAATATTAAGTAATCGATCAGAGCACTACGTATAATATTAAGATATAATTTCCGCGAGACGCTTATCACCACTGTGTTAGTGTGTTCATGAAACAGAGATGGTAATGACTATAAAAGTGGGAAATCCCAACAGTAGTAGGCATGTATCGATTCGGTGTTGCGATGAAGTTATTCTTAGTAGTGAGCCTGTTCTGCCTGGGGGCGCTGGTGGCGGCCTACGACATTCCGGAGCTGGACTACCACGAGCGTGTGGGCATCCCGCGCGCCCACGCCCTCAGGCAGGCCGAGCTCGCGGCAGACTTCGATGGCAGCAGGATCATTAGCGGCTCGCCGGCCGCGCTTGGCGCCTACCCTTACATGGTGAGATTAACGAGGACGACGTAAGGTATAAATGTTCCGTAAACTGGAAAATAATTTTGTGGTTTTATGAATTCTTTCAAGTTTTTATTTGATAAGAAACGGAATGAAACAAGATGCTGGAACAGAACCCATCGAAGTTCTGCAAGAATGAAGACTTGTCTTATTTAAACTTCCTATCGCAGGCTGGGCAGATAATGACGTTGACCGACGGGCGCGAGTCTATCGGAGGCGGTACTTTGATCAGCAACACGCGGGTTCTGACCGCGGCGCACAACTTGTTCGATGGGCGGCAGATGATCCGCCACGTGACCATCGTGCTGGGCTCTGTGCGCATCTTCTCCGGCGGCACCAGGATCACTTCTAACAGGATGGAGCTGCACGGCAATTATAACGTCAACACATTAGAGAACGACATCGCCATCGTCACTATCAACTGGGTGAACTACAGCAGTTAGTATGTTTTAAGACGAGGCGGGTGACGAAACTCCGATTCTTCCGTCGAACTTGGCTTCTGAACCATTATTATTTAATAAATGCATCAACTTTTCCCTGCCAATTAAAACAATCCACACACTAAGGATTGTTTTAATTTCAGACACAATTCGCAACATCGGGCTGGCGTCAGGCAGCAACACGTACGCGGGCGCATGGGCCTGGGCCATCGGCTTCGGCAAGACCAGAGACGGTGAGTTTCGGCCTGCAAATTAACTCACACAACGTTTTGATAGCTCCTTATTAAGGACTGCCGACAGCACTTCGGCGGGAACGTATATGTCCGTTAATAGCCGTGAAGTAACAATACATTTATTTATTTAGCTTTAAATGCTTTATATACAGCTGTATATCTTTATATAGCTAGCTTTAGCTTTAGCTTTCTAAATAAACAATACATACGACATACGAAACCATTAATCACAGTATGGTAGATATAAAACTTTAATATGTTTGACGAGAATATGTTATCCTCAAAAGTCCAGCTTTCTTGCATCATCCGTACCAGAATTTGGAGATTTTATTTAAATGTTATTTGTTTTGGGCATTGCGTTTAGCGTCGGCGGCGAGTCCGGACCTGATGCATGTGCGAGTGCAAGTGATCAGCAACGACGTGTGCCGCGGCACCTTCGGCGCCAACTTCGTGGTGGCCTCCACGCTGTGCATCAGCGGCGCTACCGGCAACATCTGCACCGGCGACTCCGGCGGTCCGCTCGTCGCCGACAACCTGCTCGTTAGTAATCGCCTTGGCTTGCACCAACACCGTATTCTCCCTCTCTACTATTCTCTAAAACTACATTTCTTCTCTTAGAATTATGGAAAATTTTGGTATTAACTATTTTATAATAATAGTAAACTAGCTGTTCCCGTGCGGCTTCATCCGCGTGAAATTATGAAAATTTTATTTTATTGTTTTCATTTGTCAAATTACCAATAGCAAATGTTAAAATGACATGACATGACAAACCTTAGCAATCTTTCTTTCTTGATGTTGGCAGCAACGTATGGTCTCTTTCCCACATAAGGGTTTTGTCTAAAATATTTTAATGTTTAATGGCGTGAAAATATACAGCCTAAAGCATGACATTTTAGGCAACAACGAAGCGTGTGTTTACGCTTTATTATAATATTATAGATAGTATAGATTAAAAATTAACCAAGGATTGTCATCTAATGGTCGGGCCTGTACGTGTTAGGTCTGATCTACCGGCTGTTGACAAG